GGGGGGGGGGGGGGCGATTCTAACTTTTAGTCAGTCAATAATTTCCGTCTTTAAAAAAAAAGTTTATCAACTATTGAATGAAACTGTTAAACTATTGTTTTGCATTTTCATGTCAATTTTATAGGGTCTATAGTAGAGAGCCTTTCAATGATTAAGTTAATGCCAAAGATGAATACAATGAAAGGGAATTTTTCAATAAGCAAAGTCAAGCAATTGATATATTTTGTACATGGAAAATATGTGAATAGTATTGTAGGCAATCTATCCACAATAATATGTGATATGTAGCTGAATAAATGATTGTTGGCAACTGAGCATCACGTCTCACGTCCGGTTGAGTCACTCGTCTCTCCATATAAAATACCATACGCTGTAGTGGAGGGCATATATAGCACATTGACAGAGCTATATCAATCGATAAACTTGAATTATTCATTTCATGTTGTTTTTTTTTTTCAGGCCCATCACCAGATTTCAGCACACATACTCCAGTGTTATTGCAAGTATTTCATGCGCGAAGTAAAAGAGAAATTATTGATACAAAGATCAATACTTTTGAACATGCAGATGTCCTTACTATTGGTTTAAAAATTGATGGAATTCAACGCACCCTCGATCTTTGGCTCAACACAGATTTAATTCCCGTAGGATATAAACAAAGAACACAATACAAGGGGAATTATACAATTGAAATACCTCATAGAGTTGTGAGCATTTTGTATTTTTAATAGTAGATATGTATATGATCAACTATTTAATCGCTAATTGCAATAATAGTAATAATATATTTGGAATTATTTGGATAGGAGATATGTCACTATCAAGGAATTATCCGTAATATGAAAGATTCTTGGGTAGCAGTTTCAACATGCCGTGGTCTGCGAGGTGTCATTTATGATGGGAAAAATATGCATTACATTCATCCGAATGAAGAGTCTCTTGATAGTATTCATTATCTGTATAAAGATAGTCATTTAATATCAAATACAAGTTGTGGTTATAAAGGATCCACCACCACCACATCATCATCATCATCACACAATACAATAATATCGAACGACGGTGAAAAGTGGTGGAGGAGGAGGACGACTAGAGGAAGGAGTAAAAGAGCTGCTGATGAAGTAATTCGTGGTCCATATAATGCAAACCGTCAGTCTCGTTATGTTGAGCTTGTCCTCGTGATCGATAAAACTGAATATATAGCATTGGGTGAAAATCTTCATAAAGTTCATCATCATTGCAAAGATATAGCAAATATAATAAATGCATTGTATACACCATTGAATATATTTGTTGCCCTAGTGGGAGTTGAAGTTTGGACCGACAGTGATGCAATAACATTGTCTTCTAAGGGTGATACAACATTGGCAAATTTTTTGCGTTATCGACGGGAAATGCTTGTCAAAGAAATACCAAATGATAATGCTCAATTATTGACGCGTATTCATTTTGAAGATGGAGTTGTGGGCAAAGCACTGAAAGGTCCAATCTGCACATATGAATTTTCCGGTGGAGTTTCCATGGATCATTCGACTGTCATTGGTCTGGTAGCAGCAACAGTAGCACACGAAATGGGACATAATTTTGGTATGGAACATGATTCAGCTGACTGCACTTGTCCAGAGGATCGTTGTATAATGGCATCATCAAGTGGATCAACTGGGCCAATTCATTGGTCCTCCTGCTCGTTAGAGTATTTAGCATTGGCCTTTGAACATGGAATGGATTATTGTCTTCGTAATAAGCCCAAAAAACTTTTTGACAGTCCAATATGTGGCAATGGTTTTGTTGAATCTGGGGAACAATGTGACTGCGGTCTCAAAGATAATTGTGACAATCCATGTTGTAATTCGTTAACCTGTATGCTCCATCCGAATGCAAGTTGTGCAACTGGTGAGTGCTGTGATTTAAAAACATGTAAACCAAAAAATGCCGGAACAGAGTGTAGAACGGCTGAACATGAGTGTGATTTGCCCGAGTATTGTACAGGGCAGAGTGAATATTGTCCAAATGATGTATATAAAATTGATGGTGAAGTGTGTAATATGGGTAAAGCATTCTGCTATCAGGGCTCATGTAGAACACATAATGATCAATGTAAACTTCTCTGGGGTCCAAGTGGGCATTCATCTGCTGCACCCTGTTATGAAATGAATAACAAAGGCTCGAAACATGGCAATTGCGGATATAATCGGCTAGATTCAAGTTACATAAAGTGTGAAAATGAAAATATATTATGTGGAATGTTGCATTGTCAACATTTGAATGAAAGACTTGAATTTGGTATGGAATCAGTTGCCATTCTCAGCCATTCTTTTTTAAATCATGGAGTCAAAATGATAGCATGCAGATCGGCTATTGTCGATCTTGGATTAAATGAAGTTGATCCTGGCTTAGCACCTGATGGTGCTAAATGTGCACCTGGAAAAATGTGTGTCAATCAAAAGTGTATGCCCATTGCTAATCTCAGAGCAACAATTAATGGAGGTTCTGCCTGTTTGAAAGATTGTGGTGGCAATGGTGTATGCAATAGTCTTGGTCACTGCCATTGCAATAAAGGCTTTCGTCCACCTGATTGTTTTCAACCAGGTTTTGGTGGTTCTGACGACAGTGGTCCAGCAGAAGATCCCAATGGTAATTTTTTTTTTTCTAATTCTTCCTTCCTTTTATTAATATTTTATTTTATTGATCGAACAACAATACAAATTCAATAATATCTCTTTTATTATTATTATTATTATTATTATTATTATTATTTTTCTTTCTTCATTTTCAGCTCGAAATGATTTTGTTACTGCTCTCTACATTATCTTCTTGGGTATTGTTCCAACTGCTGCTCTCATTTCTCTAGCCATCTGGTATAAACGAAATAATTTCACTGGTTCAACTTGGAAAAAGGACTCATCAATATCAACGTATGTATCTAGTATCAAGCGTTTCAATTTCAAGTTTACCGAAAAAAACAACAACTCAAACAAGACATCATCATTCATGAAATGTCAAAGAAATTTCGTCCTACCAAAAGCATCTCGTCTCAAAAAAAATGAATTGTCAAAAGAATTTGCAATAAGTGATCAATTGTTAAAAGATAAAATTGAAATAACAAAAAAAAGTCTTGTCAGTACGACAAATCTCCAAGTTATTAGTTGTAGTAGAAATTTAAAAATGGAAAATTCTCCAAATGCTGATGCTAATATTTCAAAAGGAAATACTCAAAATATCAATTTACAAAATTATTATAATGATGAAACAACAACAAGAGTGGGAAAAACAACTAAATATTCACAAGAATTAACTATGAATTGCAAAGAATTGAAAATTAATAAAGCGGATCAATGGAATTTTCAACAACTCTATGAAAATCCCTCATGCAGTACTTCAAGTACTTTGGCACCAATTGATTCTGTTGATAATGTAGGCTTTGAAAAATTAACTGAGAGATCTGAAAGAGTATTTGTGATTGCACCGAAAGTTGCACATGCTCAGAGCCATATATATAATGAAAAATTACCCTTTTATCATAAAAAACCACCGCCGCCACCACCGATGTAGTAATTGAAAGAAAAAAAAACAAAAAACAAAAAATTTTATCGTACACTATTGATGCAACATTCGAATAACAAACAAAAAAGGGAGAAATACAATTTTTAATTATAAAAGCAATGATAAGAAGGAACAAATTGAAAACTGCCAACAAAGACAGTTGGCTAACAATTATTAAAACTTATTTAATGCATGTTTTTGTTGCATGAATGTACCTGAACTGAGTGGCGAGATCTATCAAAGGGAAAAGTAAATGACTTTTCATAATGATAAAACATTTTAATGTCGCATGCGAAATTTTTACAGTAATGACAAGTAGTATACTACAGTAATAATAAATTTTTCTTATTATTATGATTTTGAAAAAAATTTTATATCTTCAAAATAAATATATTAGAGTGAAATAAAGAAATAAATAAATAAATATGAATAAATACAATTTGCAAACATCTTTTCTTTTCTTCATATTTTTTACAATAATATATCTATCATGCAAGCTTTTGGCAGCTACTAATTTTCCTCTCCATTACTAACTTTAATTTTCCCTTTGAGAGTCCATATTGCCCTCAGCATGTCGCAAAATATACTATATATCCAATTTGATTGTTTATATAATAACAAGTTGAATATAGGAATTAATGGAGTATCGGAAATTTGAAAAGTTGGTATGTAAATGAGCTTCAATGATGAAGGGAAAAAAATTAATGTCTTCAAATTACAGAAATGAACGAGGTTTCACCATTAGAACAATTGATCGGCCTATTATTGAAACAATAGATGCCAAGTTAAATGAGGATCCAGCATGCACAAGTCTCTTGCCAAAAACGGAGAATAATGAAAGATTCAACAATAACATGTTTGGACAATTCAAGGGCTTTACACTGAGTCCTTTACCAGCTGTTATTAATATGACACAAAGTTCAGCAATAATTTCATCAACTTCTCCATTAGCCACAAAGACTAGTGAAAAAAAAAAATCATCACTTGACAGGGATAATAATACTCCTCAAAGTGCCTTGATGTTGCAGTCTATGAGCACAAATAATTTACAACTAAATGGCGAGTCAGAAAATGGAAAACTATTGGAAGAACCACCAGCACTGCCACCATTAAATCCTGGATGCACAGCAAAACCTTTAATCAGTAGCCCGATATTGGCAGGAACAACTTGTACATCATTAGAACTTGTTCAAAGCAAAATACCATCACGCCCAGCTCCTGGAATTCCAGCAGCAAAAGCAATTTCTGAAGATGTCAAGATTAGTGGTCGCTACAATAATAACAGCACTAATTCAACATTAATTTCACTTAATGTTGTTGGTGAACGTATACAAAGAAAGATGGAAAAAGATAAGGAGCGAGATAGAGAAAAATTGACAACATTAAATAAGATTGCATCTATATTAAAACCTGGAAACGGCCTGAAAATTAATGAAAATTCTACAGTAAAATCTCATGAAGCAAATACTTTGCCTCATAATCAACATCATAAAGCTAATAAAATTATTGATAAGGAAATATTGCGCAAGCTTGAAATATCAAATCCAATTCTTCAGAATGAAATAACAATTACAGCGCCAGTCATACCTCTTGTTTCGAAATCATCATCATCATCATCATCGTCGTCGTCGTCGTCGTCGTCGTCGTCGTCGTCGTCGTCGGTAAATGTTAATGACAATAATGATGAAAAGAAAAATACTGTGACTAGAGCCCAATCAATGAAGAATTCAAATGTTATGTCAAAGCCAATGATACAAACATTTGGATCCATGCGTTACCAAAATTCAAAAAATTCCAGTAAAAGGCCCACAAGTATTGCAGTTAGTATGCGGCCAACATTGCCACCACCCCCAGTGCCACCAATTTTACTATCATCGACTACAAGTACTTTTTTAAATGATGAAAATTTGAAAATACCAGGATTACCAGGCTATCAAAATCCTCCCATCATTAAGATGGATGAAAAAAAAAAACAATTGTCCGCTGACAGCGCCTATGACGACTGTATGAATTTGATACAAGAGTCATCGCTTAATGGAATTACTGAAGAATTATCATTGAATGATAATATATATGCTGTTATTGAAGAACCTAATGGAATAACAAAAACAGATGATGATTGTAAAGCCGATAATGAATATAAAGTTCCATCTAGTTCGAAAATTATTGAGACTGATGGTAAAATTAGTGACAAGTGTAGCAGTTCAGCAACAGAGAATGAAACGAATATGGGTCTCTTATCGGAAATTGTATCAGAAATATCAAATAGAAATTTCAATTCAATATATTCGGCATCGTCATCTAGATTAGTAGGACAAAAACAAAATAAGGATGAAGACGAGCAGATTAAAGGAACATCGGGATCCAATAGTTCACTTGTAACTTATACCAATGCTAATGACCATAAAGCATCATCAGCGAGTATATATTCCAATTCGATATCAAGTAAATTTAATTCAGCTGCATCTGAAACAAGTTCAGGATATCTCCTACCATCTGCTGTAAATGTACCAAATAATTCATTAATTAATGCTGCCGAGAACACTAGTGTCAATGTTGAGCCAAATGATAGTATCAATATCAATAAAAAACTGGCCATTAATTCTTCAGACTCACCTGTGGTTGATGATAATAATATGCAACAAGTTGTTGAAATTTCTTCATCTACCAAAGATAATAATATTTTAATCAATTCACCAAATAAACCAATGTCCTTTTTTAATGCAAAGCCAAGAATTTCAAGCCGACCAGTAACACTTGACTGTCCTACTAAAAAATTATTGTCAGAAAATGATAAAACTGTGAATGGCTCGAATCAAAGTTGTTCAATTATGAAAGGAACAAGAGGATTGACTGGATCATTATCAGAGTCGTTGTCGAGCAGTACATTTAGTGAGAATAAATGTTGCCATAAGAATTTCAATAGTAATCCTGCTTACAAGAGGCCAGACCTCATTTCCAGTTGTTCTACACCTACAACACTTAATTCAAGGACAACCCCATCACCAGATATCGTAGCAGTTACGGTTAATAATTCTAAAATAATCAACACGTCTTTACAAACAGCAGCATCATCTAATTCAAATTATCAATTGAATATAACGAAAAATGTTGACAAATCAATAGTTCCGATAAAGTTGTCTGGAGGTAAATCAATTACCTCTCAAATGCCAAAAACACAACTAACTTCAGTTCCAACATCATCATCATTATCATCATCATCATCATTAAAAAGACAAGAAATTAATAATTTGAAAACCAAATCCAATGTAGTTCGAGATTTGGCATCAAGTAAATCTACTGTTGCCTCGCTGCAAATGAAATTTGAACAAAATAAGACTGCAACGACCAACCCAAAGAACAGTATTTCCTTAAAGAAATCAGTTTCTGGTAAAAACATTGGTAATTCTATGAATTACAGTAAAGGAAAGAAGTGAGACAAGGGAAATGTCTATTCAATATATTCTCACATAGACTCTAGTCTGAATTACTATTAACTCACTAATATTGTACCATATAAATATCAAATATAGTGCACTATGTTTTATTCATCTTCTTTTTCAATCAATAAGACTTCATTTTTTACTAATAAAAAAAAATATCAAGATCACTCTTATTATTAATATATTTAAAAAGAGTCGTTTTTCAATTTTACTTTCTTTTCCTTTGAAACGCGAAAAAATTTTTGCTTCTATTCTTGAGAATTATGTACTGATATAATGTATATAAGCTGCGAAATAGGAAATACGTTGTTACACTCATAAATAAACAAGAAATTGCACAACAAATTTTCATAATAATCAGTGTTACAAAATTTTACGGAGCGAATCCATAGGTTTTTACCATACATTAAAGTAAAAAAAAAATGCTTTTTACTGCAAGTGTAAAGCCTATCTATGATAATTTCTATATTGATGAGAAAATTTGAGGGAAATGGACTTGGATCTTGTTGATTAATGTCCATCGTCCTTTCTTTTCTTTTCCTTTAATATTTATGCATTTCGATGTAATACATGTAGAGATGATTCATGACAATTGTGGAATAATAAACTTTATTAATTTTGTATCTTATTCTTATCTATGTACATACTATAACTGAAGAGTATAAGAAAAAAATCCACCATTCATTACGTTTCCGATCAGCCAATTCCTACAGAAATGTCCCTTAAGCTTCTCGCGTAATAATAGCACTGTCTTCGAGTCCTCTTCAGGTTTATCCCCCTCCCCTGCCTTTTAATTTGCTGTAACTTATAACATGAAGAATGTAGAGATATCCCTCTATAAGGAGAATCGACGAGTAATGCAAAGACGTATGTACATATGCTTTTAGTCTAGTTTAAATTTATCTGGCAGTGGATACTCCCACTTCATGTAATTCCCAGTTGTATCTGTGTCGCTCATTTGATCCGTGAGCTGAAGGGTTTGCATTACATTTTATTTTAGCTTGGGATTTTTCTTTTACTGGCTCGATGCTTTTTAACCTGCTGAATCTGAATATCGACGCGTATTTTATATGAAAAAAAAAAATCGCCGTTGAAGTTTAATTTCCAATTGTTTATTAATACTTTATTAATAAGAAAAAAAATGACAGGAATTCGACTTGGTGACCTCGCTATTTCGATTGTGTGGGTGGGTGGAGTAAAAAAAAAACAGAATCCAGTGAATAATTTTCTCCAAAAATCCCACGTTTAATACCCCCATAGGAGTCGTGCGACTTCGGGCAAAAACGGCAAAAACCGAAGACTATTTCTCTTCACCCCACAATCGTATTTGTGGCAGCAACTTACGATTGTTAGAAACACGCCTTCACAAGACCAATTCTCTTAAAAATAAGTCTGTTGCTCACTCACGGTGTGTTCTTCCATTGAAAATTTCACACAGCCGTTTAATCTGCACAGACGGTCCGCGTACAACACAATGTAACGGAACGTTTTTTTTCCTAACAATATATACCTAATAATGTTTATATTTACCTCTTTATCCTCGTCTAATAAAGTGTTAATTATTTTTCATTGACTCATTTCTAATTCATTGCTGTAGACGTGCCTTGGTAATAATAACAATAATAATAATAATAATAATAATAATAATAATAAGACGGCAATTTCTATTCCAATAGTAGAGAATATAAAGGAGTTGAAAAGTGATTTACATAATTAGCTGTGATAATTGGTTGTATGTTAAATATACATATATATGATATACATTATCATAGACTCTCAATATTGGAAACAAGTTGTTGTCCAAGAGTTTGTTAGTATGTGATTAATAATTCCAAGGGATACTTCAGTGACAGATGTCAGAAACTTGGAATGCTGTGGTTAAGGCGCACGGAGAGGAAGAGGAGGAAGAGGAGGAGGACGAGGAGGAGGAATCAAAGTCAAATGAAGAATGTGACAAGGATCAAGCCTTAACATCAATAACTTATAGTAGTACATTTTTGAATGATGACATTATTGACATATCCAGGCTTGATTTGGAAGATGAAGAAACTTGGTGAGTTGAACACAGAGTTGATGACAATTATATTATATATATGTATGAGAAAGCTTATAGATTATATTTATTGAAGAAATTGAAATGATTTTTGTTTGTAGGCTTTTACAAAGCAATAAAAGTGAGTTATCATGTTGTGATCTTCGTAGTTGGCTCAGAAGAGATTTCCACGAAGGCTGTACAAAGCCAAATAATAATATTACAAATGACAATACTGAGCTTGGATTATCAATCGACACTAGGACATTTACACGATGTAAGAAAAAAATGGCCAAACTGAACTTTGATTGTATAAAAGAAACAACATTACCTGGAGTTATTTATAATGATAGTGAATCATCATTGAAGAAAATGAAAATCAATTGGAAGGAAGAGGAAACAAGAAATGAAGACTCCATTCCTGCAATGTTGAGGCAATCATTAACAGGCATAATATTACCATCCAGCGTTAATGCTCAAGAAAGCTTGGAAGCTTTTCTGGATATGTCACAATCAAAATGCATAGACTCGTTCATTAATATGGCTGAGCCTGAATTTAACGATAGTCTTATGAATATATCTCGTCCTTCTTTCTTGCAAACAACAATGTCAAACCACTCAATGCACTCAATTTGTGGAATGACTAATATTGAAATGGCAGATTCTCAAATTCTTACGGATTCCATGATGCAAACTAGTATGTTTAATGAAATGGATGGTGATATTGTAAACGTTAATTTATCCCAAACTATTGATAAAAATTGGCTAGATTCATCAGCAGCTGCTACTGTATTGAAAGATATTTCTGCCAATGATGGTGATAAGACATTCACTCCAATTGATTTTCAGAGGGAAATTTCAAATATCGATAATCAACATCAACATTTATGTTCAATTAATAAAACATTTAATAGGCTGCCATCATCAGATAGTTCAAATTTGAGTAGAACAATTACAGATTCTGAGAAGAGTTGGACTTGTTTAAATACAATCGAACAAGCAAAAAATTTCAATAAAACTTTTTCTTCAAATAGTTCATTTTCGAAAATTTCACTAAATTCAACATTCAAAACACCTGGATATGATGATGAGATAAAAAATAACATTATTGAGCAGGAGGATGAAATGTCATCGAATACAACATATGTTGCTGCTACTGCTAATGATGAAGTGACTTTTCCATTTACGCAATATACAGAGGAACCAACAACAATAGCGCAAAATAATGAACCCACATCGCTTGATGTAACATATTCCAAGAGAGATGTTATCATGTTGAATGAATCTATTAATAATATTATAAAATTGTCACCATCGACAGAAGATGAAATCTATCAAGGTCAAAATGATGGTATGCCTGTGAATCGTTATCAAACGTATCGAAAATCTACAGCAATTAATAAAATTGATTCTGTGAATAAGTTGGCCAATCCTATTGGTAAAATTCCATTAAATTATGATGAAAATTATCGGGGAAAGTCGATGGAAATATTGGATAAGTTGAGTAGTAAAACACTTGATTCTCAGCAGATTTATACGAAATTAAATGGGCCAAAGTCTTTGTCTCGTTTACCTCAAACTCTTCAAAAATCTAATCCCAATCTGCGATCGCATAATTCTACTTTTGCAAAAGGTAAAACAACAACAACAACAACAACAACAAAAATAACTCGCCAATCAAAATTTGGTTTTCAATCTATTGGAAGGGGAATAATGAAAAATGGCCAGCCAATAGTGTCTAATCGATTAACTAATTTGGCTAAAGTACAGGGAGCAGAATTTGATAAAACGCATACTAGAAACTCAAATGAAAGCATTGAGAGTACATTAAGCACTTACAGTGGTCCAGATTTTGACGATGGCTTGAGTACATGTTCAGACGGTAGCCATCACTTGAATTGTGAAAAAAGTACAAATTCTGCTGAGCAACTTTATAAAATCGTTGGAATGCAGGAGGAGAAATTGAGTCAGGAGTCAACACCAAAAGCAGATAGGAAAATTTTGGACAATACATGGATCGCCAGTGGTACAGATCTTCCATCACCAATTCTTAAGAATAATGAGATATTAGACAATCAAGTGACTTGTTCAGATAATCTTGATACGGTCATTCAAACGAGTTCACCTCTCATTAGTCCTGGTGAATCTCTACAAACTTTTCCTCAAAATCAAGCGAACCATATAGCTGACGACGAGAAAATAATGAAAATGGATAAAAGTCTTCCGTTGAATAAATTATCGGTAAATTATGATTTTCATTTTTTTTTGTATTCTTTTGTAGCATACATCTCCCGTAATAGTCAAATATAATTTATTCATTTTTATAGTCTGTGTTCAAGCCAGCCCCGAATCATGAAAATAAGACTGATGGTGTTCGTTTACCTGTAAGCCGTTCATCCAATCTACCAAGTGGAATACCTCGGCCAGCATCGCGAATTCCGGCACCTAGATTCTCAAGAACTAATGCACAAGTGAAAAGTCAAAATAATATAAAGAAGGGCCTTTTTTGACAAAAAAAATTGCTGAATTGCTCGAGTTGCTTTACAACTTTTTCATTTAATAAATTAAATTTTTATATAAATGCGTTTTTTTTTTTTTTTTTTTTTTTTAAGAGTCTGAGGCCTTCTCCATAAATGGACAATATGAACAGATAAGAATTATGATTAAATACATATCAGAGAAAATTTTATAAATTAATTGCGACTGTAGATATAAACGTGCAAAAATCCGTTCATGGAAAAAACGGATGGAGACAAAATGAGAATATAGTTAAGAAAAAGGCCTTGATTTATTCCAACTACCGCTGTGCCTTCTAATGATTAAAATGAAAATGATATTGTTAGGTTAAACTTAAGGTTTTTATATTATTGCGACATGTATTGTTTTTTCTTCTCGACAACAAGTTATTTTTTATTCAATTCATTAATGTTGATACAATAAAACTGCCGATATTGAAAATTATGAATTACACTTGCGTATTTTTTGTGTTTCGTTTTTATTTTACAATTTTCTATTGAAAAAGTTTATTTAGTGAATCAATTAAATACAACTTATATTTATACGCTTACTTAGACGTGGATGATGAATAAATGTGGAAAAAATATAATGACTAATCAAGTAAGTGAATTGTAAAATTTTTAATGACCCTGCTGAAATTATAAATGAAATGAGAAGAAAAACACAGTTCTGGTGGGTGTAAAATATTACAAGTTGAAAAAGTAACAAATAATTGCCGTGATTTATTTCTATATAGACATAATACTGTATTGTTGGTGTGTATTCGTATCTAGATTATATGAACAATTTGGGAAAAAAGTACATTAATGTATGGTGAGTTATTGAGAAAGTCACACTTCGAGATCAATACTAAAGGAAATTACATCGTTATTGAATGAAAATTAATTTCTAATGTATCATTGAACGAAAATCCGATATAATAACATGAGTGATGAGGGCTGAAAAAAAAAAACCCATTGAAATAGTTCCTCCAGTTGCCATGATGACTTGAACACAAGACGTGCCATTTATGTAGCCCAATTGCATATTATTTTCTCCAATTTCCTTTTCACCTCATTAATAACTCATTTTGTAAATTGAATTGTTATTGTACACATTGAAATTCATTCGCAAGCAAGTTTGCCATCAAAACTACTCAGAGCAATAGCAAAGGCTTGAAGAGCACAAAGAGGAAATCGATAATCCATGGTGAAAACATCCTCTGCTACGCGGCCAAACTGCATAACAACGTAGTCAGCTGCGGAAGAATTATTTGATTTTTAAATATTATATATGTTTGTGATATTTACAAGCGAGGATAATGCATATTCGAGTCAAATGTAATTACTTACTGTCACTATCGTGAACAACTTGAAAATTTTTGACAGACGCTTGTGTAACACGACCATGGAAATTGAGGACGTAAGATTGAGTATCATCATTCCATACAGGTGTTTTGTTGTGTAGTTCAATCAAATTATCCATATTTTTCATTTTCCAGCATTCTGGAAAAGGACAACAATTATTGACAAGAGCGGAAAAAAAAATGTCAATTATTATTATTATTATTATTATCATTGTTATAATTACCAAGTAATGTTTCAGATTCATCCCGTGGACAAATGGGTATTCTTTGTTGATCAGCGGTCATTCCAGGTATAATAACCGTCATTTTGCGAGGTCCTTTGAATCCAAGTACATTGGTATCATAAACCACAGCGGCCAATTCTTGACGTGGAGTTGATCGATCATCTCGTTTATTTTGTTTCATCAGAGAGTAACCGCTATCATAAATTGTAAATTGAGTGCCCAAAAGATTGGAACGTAATTTGCCAACATAAGAATCAGCGCCACGAGATAAATCAGTTGGATCAGTTGATATCAAGTAATTACTTGTTGTACTTTTTTTTCGTTTTCTTCCGGCGAGCAGGAAGATTTTTTTTCCATAATCACGTTCTAGATGCAGAAAATAGGTTGGATAGAGACCACGATCCATTCCCTTTCTATCACGAGTAATTCGACATTTGAAATGCATTTTTTTATTAGCTGGTTGAACAACAAAATGCTCAATATTTCCTTCAACATTGCCCTCCAATTCGGGACTCTGATTAATAAAAAAGTAGAATTCATAATTATCAATGAATGGCGGATAATGTTTGGATATATAAATGAAACATAATGAAACATAATCGACTCACATTGGACTGAATTTCTCGATTGACAATAATGGTATCAGAACCATCAAAAGGTGCTACTGGCAGGGGGGAATGTAATTGATAAGAGAGAGACTCGTGCGGTGCTGTTAATCGTGTGTCTAAAGGTGATGATTCCTCATCAACACAATCTCCCATTGTTGCCATACCATCGTCGAAGATATCTCCATCGCCATTTAATTCACCATCAAATCCTATATATTAATAATCAACTCAATAATTAAATGACTGTGAGTATTTAAAGTAAAAAAAATAATATAGTCAAATAATGATTTCCAAGATGTGGATCGCGATTGAAGCAATGCTCTACTAATACCTGCCATATTTTTTTCTTTTAATACTATTGGGTTATTTTGACTGACTGATGAAAGATTGTGTAATTGCTGGCCATCGCATGTCTGAGATTGTTTCATGGGAGTTAGCCACTTGGTAGAATGAGTTTTATGAGCAGAAGATATATTTGATGCTTGTACCATTCCTCCAGCTCCACTTTGCCGTTTTTGTTTCATTTTTTCAGCCAGAAGTTGACGCTAAAAGAAGCAAACAAATTAACAATAAAACGAATTAGCTATATATTTATTATATATTTATTTTATTAATTTTCATTATATTATTACGTAAGGAAAAAATTCAATGCCTCACCTGTTGTTCCAATTTTTGCAATCTCAAATCTAAGGAAGTCATAATTGCGTTTGTTGATTAATTATGAACCTGTAAGAGTGAGTCCAAGAATAAAAACTATAAAATATGGTGCGGTTTAAATTTGTTCCTTGTCAAAGCAATTTAACGCATTAAGTTTGTTTATATCAAAGAAGGGCCGTTGCCGAGGGTACCGAGGTAACCTTAAGGACCAGCCTGCATGGCTAGTAACTATTTTTTCAACATACATATATTACTGTCGGCCTGACGAGTCCGTTCCCTTCGTTTTCTGAGGTGGATTAGCCAAAGTGGGGGTAGCTACGAAGGGAACGGACTCGTCAGTTGGCCTATATACACGACGCAGAAAGCAGCGAGCATGATACGCGGGGGGGGGGGTCGTTTGCATGAGTGTATGTATGTATATATATACAATTCAAGAGAAGGGAAACATTCCGTTTTGAACACGTTCTAGGGAAAATGGCGACAGCCGGCGCGAAAGGCGGTGCAGGCGGTGGAACAGATATGGACACGGAAATTTGTGGACACATTCGCGCGAATGGGCAGATTCTGATGAGGCGGTTAATCATGCAATAATCAGTTGAAATTCATGACAAAGAATGATTTTATCAATAAATCAGACTTTATTTTATTACATATTGTGAAACCAAGACGTCCAAAAAAGTGGAACGTCAAATTTCGACATTGCGCAACTTTCCGCGCACATTCATCATGGCGGCCGGCCACTGGCAAAGGATGGAGGTTTTGGCGATCGTCGCGAATTTTCAGTGGGAAAAGGGATAAAACCGGAAAAATACTTATTAATCGTGCAATAATCAGTTAATATTGAGTGCCGGGAATGATTTTATCAAGAAATCAGACTTTATTAGTGCGTATTATTAAGCCCAGACATGTAAAAAGTGCAATGCTAAATTTCGCCATTGCGCATGATTGCGCAACTCCTCCGCGTACATTCATCATGGCGGCTGGCCACGGGCAGAGTATGGAGGTTTTGGCGTTCGTCCGCGCATTTTCGGTGAGAAAGGGGATTAAATCGGGGAAATAATTATTAATCGTGCAATAATCAGTTGATCTTGATGGCAGGCAGTGATTTTATCAAAAAATGAGACGGTTACTGCATATTATGGAGCCTAAACCTCTAAAAAAAGTGCAATGCCAAATTTCGCTATTGCGCAACTCCTCCGCGCACAT